GAGATTTATCGTACCAACTGCTTTTAACGCGTCTTCGTCTAGGCAAGAGGTGGCCCGAGGAACATGGGTTAAGACTGAGTGCTCCTTTCCGCTGTCCTCACATATGCCGTCGGAATTCCGAGAAGATTTCGAGGATTCAGAGAAGAGGACCGTCGGAATTTAGCCACGTGGAAGTGCTCTTTGTAGACCGGTTCCCTCTGGCCTACTTGAGATTATCAGTTTGGTGCAATACTACCTGATCACAATGGATTGCACGGGCTGAGGGATAGCATAGGAAGCTTTTGTAATTGTTAAGCAAAACACGACACCCGACCCGAAGACCGCCCTTTGGGAGCTATTTCGATGAAAATCAGTGAAATTCACCATTCAGGCTAGGAATGGACTGAATGACGACCTGAGGCTGATATTAAAAAAAAAGACAGGCACTTATCTTACAGTCTTGTTTGCTGGGCGCGCCAAGGAGGTATGGGATTGGCGCGACGCCGGCCCACTTTTGTTTTTTCTTTCGGTGAGCGACAACCCTATATCATATCCACCGAATTAGTCGCTTTTCTCCACCTGCTGTCGCTTACCCGCTTCAGAAACTGATGGAAGAATGGAGCTGGTGGCGCGCCAAACCCACCATGCACAGTGATTCAGACTGTAGAGCTTCCGTGATGGAGATGAACTTCTAGGAAACAAGGGTCTGTCTACTGGGGAAGAAGGAACAGCATATCTTCTATCACTGAGAACTTGACCTTCAGATCCAGTAAGTTACAGTAAATAAATAGACGAAAACACGTCCTGTCGCGTACAGTGTACATGTACTTTCTACCCCTCAAAATTGCAATGGATAAACTTGATACCCCCCCCTCCCCATTCGCCTCACTCCCTCTTGTTGCTTCGCTAAGCCTTCACTAAAATTTCCGTCAACCCAAACGATCTCACTAAGCTAAAAAACCGAGAAATAAAGTTTTGTACTGGTGCTCTGCAGAGAGTTTACAATCGACGAACCTGCAGATACGTAGCAGGATCCGGTTCCTTCAACGCCTCGATACAGAACTGAATCAATCCAGTGGTCCGGGAAAGTTTCGCTGTACAGCGCGAGATTTGCTCTCGTAATACCTGCTTCTGAAAATAGAAGTGATCATTCAAATGCCTTTCACTAGTGAGTAACTACTGTAATGCTGCTATTTTTTTCTGCACTGTGAGAGCTAATCCATGTGAGATGGACAAAATTTCTTTGGAATCCCTTAGACTCCACAAACTCGTGCGCGGGTTCGGGCCCACTATTCTGACCTTTCGTTGCTGCACCCCTAATTCTCTTTCAATAGACGGGCGATAGGAGCAGACAGTAAAAAGGTAGAAGGTACAGTAGATGAAAGGAATAGTTAGAAGCAAACTCGAAAGTTCTTTTTAAACAGGTTTGTTAGTTTTTGAGTTGCTTTTTTCTATTCGCGCTAAACCGTTGGGCTGTGGTCTCCAAGGTTCTGTTGCGGTGCGGCTTGGTCCGTGTCTCCGCTAGTACAATCAATGTGAAGCCGTGCGTTTTGGAAGGTATTACTCCCCCAAGAAACCTTGTCTTCGTATTTTCTGTTCTCTGAACCCTACGGACAATGGTACGATTAGGCCGATTACAGTCACTGAAAAGGGCAGAAAAGGGTGGAATTAATGGTGCGCTCAGTGGACAGACAAAGGACTGAAGACTGAAATCCTACAAGTCGGGCTTCCATAAGATCTCTCGAGATCTATAGGTCGGAAAAAATTTGGAACAAGCCAATGAAGAGCATTCAGAATTGTTTTAAAACTCGCTGTTTCAAACGGTTCTGAATCTTCTTCATTGGACCAGCAACAGTGGAGAGGTAAGGCAGATAGCGGCGAATTACAAAATGAAGAAACTACTTTCAGCGCTCTGACTTGGTTAGGCGCCATTCACGATTCGTGGGAATCGACTCCCAGAACTGCAAGGAGTATCCATGGATGTTCTACTCCTAATTCCCTAAATACATGGAACTGCTCACTCGTGTTGGTGATCTTCTTCCCTTTGACTCATGCTTCAAGACGTCTGAAAGGTGCCTGATGAGGTTGAGATGAAGGCTTTTCACTCGGGTCATTTCGATCACCGCGGGATGTTGAGCTTTGGGTGTCGGGACACTCTAACAGTCCTCATGCATTGCGGGGCCGGTGGGCGTTCCGCCAGTAAGGAGTGCGCACATACTGCTGAAAGGCCGTTCTCACCTTTTTTTGTTGAAAGCGTATGCGACAAAAAGTGGTAGAAAACGAGTAATACGAAGGATATAATACAGTAATGTCACTTGCCCGCTTCAACAACTGGTGCAGAACGACTTCATCACCGCGGAAGACGGAGCCGCACTGACACGCCCCACCGGTCCGCAATGATGAGGACTGTAGATATCTTCTTGTATTTTTACTTCCTTGGCTTAGCGATGATTTTTAATCGATGAATAACCAGTCTTCGCAGGCATACTTTATCTATGTCCACGATACTTCGGTATATAAGTCGAGGAGAATCAAAAAATATTTTGAAAGAACATTACGATTTTTTGACTTGTTTCAAGTTTTTTTTCCGCAGTTGTACATGGGAATGTCACTCGGCATTACTTCTGCCAATGATAACAAAACAATTTCCAGTCAAATCTCTTACCTTGTGGTCTTTCTGCTCATCGACATGCCTCATTAATTGTTCCTTCCGCATTTGAAGCTGCTCGATTAATGCGTCCACTTGAATGCATAGATTCGACTTGAAGTCATTACACGTATTCTAAAAAAGGCAGCGTTAATTAGACAGCTCAAAGGCAGCTGCCCCAGAAAGCAGCCGCGTTCAAACCTCAGGGGACCAGTGATTGAATTTCATTTCCCAATCAGGTTATTGTGAAACCTTTTCAAGAGAACCTCCTCCCTTTCCCACGTCCTGGTGGAATTCACAAACCCACCTCGAAAAGTATCAGCAAACATCAGTGACAAGCTCTCTCGTTTAATATTTTCTTTTCTTACCTGTCTCTCATGTGCGTGCTTTTAAAGATATAAAAACAATTAATATCACTCTGAATCATCACGCCAGTAACACTTAGTAGTTGAGAGGCCGTCTCTGGAAAACCGGGTTACATTTTTGCTTGAAATTTTCCAATTTTCCAATATTTCTTTTTCTTTCTTTTAATTTTTTTGTGTTTTTTCCCCTTAGAGTTGTGATGCGTACCGGAGTGCAAAGAGGGACGTCCCAGAAACGGCTGTGTATTCTTGTGCCGACCCTCCCACTAGTTACGTTTCCGTCTCTTTTCCGTCTGGGCATACGCAGTTGTCCCTGTGCTCGTAGCAGTGAAGATCTCTGCGTGCAACAGGGTGTGTGACGGAGGCACGGATTGGAGCAGAGCTTCCTGGGTAGCATTCTCCACCAATGATGCCATCTTGAGCGCACCACAATTGATGGGAAAAGCTGCCCTGGCAGCACTCCAATCCACGCTCCCCACACGCCCTATCGTCAGCAGGAATCTGACTTACGTATTTGGAAACGCCCTTTTGCCGTCATATATGAACATTACATAGTCCAAGAATAAGGCAATACGTGTTTCTAAGGCTTTTTTGCGCAAAATAAAATTGCTTCCTGAAAAAAATTGAACTCTATTATACTTTGGGTAACGCTAATAGGACTAATTAAACAATTATCCGCAAGTAGAATGTGACATTCCGATCAGATTTTTGATTCTTGCATCAAAAAAATGTCAAATTCACTCACATTAAGGTTGTCGTGCATCTGTTTCAATCGTCCAATCTCTTCGGTTGCGGTTCGAGCCTTTTCACTTAGTTGTTGGAGGGTGGTCGACAGTTCGGCCTGGAATCCGAGGAATCATCCAATTTGAACCTTCTAATTCCAATTATCTTTTGGATCACAGTTTGAAGCAACATTCAGACTTCGCGATGACGCGCATCGACGCGCTACGATTGCGACAGCGCTCCAGTGCTAGAGACGCGAACGCAGCCGCATATGGGAATCGATCGGCGCCGGCCGCTTGCGACTTGGGAGAGTGTGGGGAACGTGAA